CACATTATGTAGACGATTTTTATTTTCGATGTGATTAATCGCTGCACATCCCTAATCCAACGAACAACTTCTCCACCCCAGTTTTACAATTTTACAGTCCTTTAACCAACAAGCTATACACCCAAAGAAAACATAAATTTAGCTCATTTAACAGCATCATAAACTTTTAACCAGCTCCATGAGGCAGATGTGTATGCTGTAAGAATGTAATCTTTGGTCAAGGTCTGAATAATGATGCGATTACTCGTCTTTATCAGGCTTGTAGATGGACAGGGTTCTGGCTGAGGGGTCGGTGGCCTTGATCCAGCGGGGCATCCAGTAATGTGGCGTCCAGTCGCTGCGGCCGGGGTACTTCTTCTCAAAGACCTGCCTTATGTAGAAGCCTTCTTTGGTTTTGGGGGGGTTAAAAGGGAACAGCTTCTCAGCCTTCTCCAACTGAGAGTCGTTCACCTGAAGGAGAGACGATAGATTAAAGGATACACACCTTGTACCATGCACATCCATGACATCACATCTGTGTGTACATGTAGTACCTCAGACTCGATGTGCTCCTGCAGGCTTGCATACCAGGATTTCTTCAAGGATGTCATACCATCACTAAAGGCCTCTTTCCTTCTCCAGAGAATCTCATCTGGGATAAGATTCATCCCTTTAAACGATTCCCTCAGGAGATGCTTCTCCACACCATTCTGATCCCAATCAAACAAGTTATAAACAATACCAATAAATTAAGCATCACTATCATTACTGCTCATATTTGGGCTTTTGATTTTTGCATTACACTTCAGACCAGGCACCGTAGCTGATGTGGGAGACACATTTTACACTGACATGAAGGATAAATCACTGAATTGTGAGGCGTCAGGACTCACCTTCGGGGCTCTCATCTCTGCAGGCAGAGAGAGGTAGTATGCGGTGAATCTGTGGTCCAGGAAAGGCACTCTCAGCTCCAGTCTAGTGGAAAAGGTTTGACGTCACAAACAGTGGAAATCACCAAGTTACTGTGAAGGGGAGAGAAGGAAGGGGTATTTGGTCTCACCCGTGTGCAGCTGTGGTTCTGTCCGCTCTCAGCACATCAAACAGATAAAGCTCTTTCAGCAGACGAACACTTTCCTCAGCGCCCGCTTCAGGGGACGGCGCCTATTCACAATCAGGACACAAATTCAGCTGAATCAAGTCTGAAGATACAGCTAACAATGCATGACAAGACAGTGAAATCCCTCTTAAAATGTCGGAATGTCATTGAATTTCATTATAAAACACAAATGTTGCTACACCTTTTTTTGAAGAACCAGTTTTATAAGAATTTTTAAGTGTAGCTTTTTATATACTTTTGGAGTTGACAGTAAATGTAAACTGAGCATATAATGACATCATGTACCTTATGAAAGTAGATGTATCCTTGTGTCAGCTCATCCGAACCTTCACCGGAGAAAATCACAACGCTGTCTGTCTTCTCACGAATGTACTTTGATATCAGGAACATTCCTGCGTAGAAGAGAGAGATATAAATCTTTGTCTGAAAAGCACTCTTGCCACCTAGTGGCTATAAGCTGAATATACCTGGCTATAACCAGCATCACCCATCGACCCGAATCATGCATTTTAGTTTGAATTATTTGCCCCTTAAATGTACCTTTTAATATTGCAACAGCTGATCGATTACGAAAAGATCTTGTTTATCTTTGTAAAAAGATTTTACATTTAGATGTCTGATTTTTAAACAAAAAAGAACAATGTGAAGGAACAAACTTTTATCCTCAGCTTCTCAAAACTACCTCCACCATCTTACACGCCCCTCGTCTCTACTCCTGTACTCACCAACAGAGGCACGCACAGTGGTGATGTCAAAACTCTCCAAGTGAAAGATGACTTCGTCCACCGCGCGGATCCCCTCCTCAGGCGTGAAGTTCACCTCATGGTGTTCGCTGCCGATGTAGGCTGCCACCTGCCACACAACACCAGTTAAAACCAGCGTGATCTACTAAATACTCAAAACCACATATGGCATTTGATTCAACTGGTTTTTAAACTGGAAGAACAAAACGATCAAAAAAATTACGATCTTTTTCCCTCTATAATAAAAATGAAATCATTGACTTGCAACCAGTTCATATCCGATACTGGAAGCATCTAAAAAATGTGTTTTAGGCTTTAATGGCCCTTTAAACCATTGAGCTTTTATTTTTGTGGTTTTACTTTTAAGTTTTTTTACATTTACTTTTTGAAGTTTCTATGACAACATGCTTCATCCAGTGCAAACCACATTTCAGTTTTTTTGGACATATTTCATACTCCAATTCTCCAAACATAAACCTGCACTGTATATGCATGCGCACATTTTGTTGAGTCATCTTCAAATGAAATGTCCAAATAAGCACACTGATCTGATACAAAGATACATCTGATGATGAACAATGGCACAGTGAATTAATACACAAAAAGATAATGACGTTGAAGAATGGACAAAAATTATGCCTTTATTCTTTGTTAAAATGAGGTTCTTTTTTTTACAGAGATTGTAGTGCACATAAATATAATGAATTATACATTTTAAATATTCTTCCTCATTTTTCATTAGACCAATAGCTCTAGAAAGTTATAATGCTGATTTGTTGATAGTTCTAAAACCCTACTTGATTTGTTAATGATAGTTGATAGTAGTCTGATACAATATTTAGTTTGTTATATATTTTAAATGCATGATGCCCCCTACTCTTTTTTTTCAAAGCTCATTAATATTAATTTGTTTGTGTAAGCATCTTGTAGATCTGTGCATTATTGGTTGTTTCCACTCTTTCCCAGAAATTCCACAATCATGACAACACTAGCATCTAATGCTTTTAAAGTCCCAGTAAAGTCCAAATTAAGTACGTGTTCTGAGTTTGTCACACCACAGAAAAATGTGTTATTAGCCACCCAGCCAAATTTGAATGATAAAAAAAAGCCGGCAAGTACATAAAATAAGCTATCAAAATCTTGAAAAAATGAACAGTTATCTCTGTTCTCAAACGCTGGGGGCGTGACCGCTGGCTGCGCTGAAATTCAGGTAGTAGCCTATGCATTTCTGTGTCGAAGGCATAGCTAGCTAGAAAACTGTAGGCTCAGCTGTAGTAACTAATAGTACTGACAGTCACTCGCGATTGAGCAGTGAATGCGAATGTGCTCGGGGAGTGTTATTGTGTGTTAGGGGAGAGATCAGACTCTGTGCGTCATCAAATAGGGGTGTGTCCAGGAGCTCATGGGCTCCAGTGCATCATCGAGCCCTGTTTAATCCGTAAAATTGCAATGGTGAAAAACTGTTCAACGGTCTAACTGCACATTTCAGTACTTCACAGTTCACAGGCTTTGTAATATGTTTTAGCAATACACATGTAACATTTATAATGTGTTTAGAACTTTTTTGTAGAATTGCCTTTACAGGGACTTTAAGTCAACACAAAGTGCATATAAATGCAGTATCCACAGAAAGTGCAACACATGTTCAGGCTTTAGAAGCATAAAGTGCATATGACATGCTGAAAGTAGTCTCACTTACTTTGCGGGCAGCGAGAAGATCTGGGCTGTCGTCTGCACCGATGGCAAATGTCTGAATGGGATACTCCAGCTTTTCTTCTTTGGCCAGTTTCACGAGTGTCGCAGCAACCAGACTGGAATCAAGACCACCTGGAAATGAAAGCATCATGGATAGAGTGAATGTCATAAAAAAGTCAGAGTAACAAAGCACACTTAAAGGGTCATGAAACCCCCCTCTTTCAGCTCAAGTCTAGCTCAAAATCTTTTTGAAAAATGCAACTGAAATGGGCGTGGCTAGCTGTGAGAAGAAGGGAGGGAGTGGGTGTGTATGGCCATCACGTCAATGTCCCATGCATTTCGACTGTCACTAAAAAGCAATGGTAAAACGTGAGGAAATGCTAGATTTTTATATATATCTGGCAAAGTTAAAGTCTTATGAAATACACTGACACTTTATTATTGTCCTTTCAAAAGTAACTGAATGTCTTGCTACATATATTAGCCTACAGTAATCGTAATTCTATTTAAAACATTAATGTAGGCTACATGTATAATTATAATGTCATTATTAAATATATAGTGGTTTATATAGACACTATAAATACATTTCAGAAAAAAAATATTAATTTTCTGCTTAAAAAATCATTCCGTGCATAGTCGACGCGCCCTCTGAACCCCCATAATATGGCTCTGCGGAGGTGGATGACTTCTCATTTTAGACACACACACACAGTCTCACACACCTCTGAAGGGATAAGAAAGTCCTCGGGGTACCGCATCACTCGCAAGACGCAACTTTAGTTGTCAACAAGGCGAAGTCCACCATTCTCCACTTTTCGCAGCTCTCTCGAGAAAATGTTCGCGGCACACAGTAGTTTAAATCACGTTTAGATGTGTCCGTGGTTGATGGCAAACCAACCATCCAGAGCCGGAGTCTAGCCCTGGCAGCATCGCGGGGAACATATTCAACGCACTTGGACTTTGCACCATGATACTTGATCCCATGATTGCCTCTCTCATCTACTACGCGATATCACAGTTTGACTGACATGTCTGTCGTTGGAAAGATCCACGTGGTGTCATGAATAATTAAGAGGCCGTGTCTTCTCATAGGATAAGAAAACTCAGTCTCATTAATAATTATGAGACACCGATGAGTCATCAACGCACTGTGCAGTGCATGGCCACGTCACCCGCTCCGATGAAGATTTTAAACGCGGAAGACGAAAAAAGCGGAAAAAAACTCAAATTTAACCCTTTTAACCTTATTATTAAATCTAACAGATGCCAACATTGTCTTCAATGGTGTTCAACACACATACCTCTGTTATAATCGCAGAAAATTTGGTTTGGGGTTTCATGACCCTTTAAAGCAAATAACACAAAGAGCAGCACAGGCACCTGAGAGGAGGCAGCCGATTCTTCTGTGAGCCATCAAGCGTTTCTTTACAGCATTTTCAAACAGGATCCTAATGTTGCTCTTGACCGTCTCCAATTCAAAGCCTGATGACAAGGGAGAAAAAATATTTCGTTTTAGTTTTCGTTGATTGTATGCAGACGTAGAGTACTCCATGAAAGTTTGTGAACCTTTTCGAATTTCCTATATTTTTGAATAAATATGATCCAAAACATTAGATATTCATACGAATAGCCATCATGGATAGAAAAATGAATTCTGAATTATACTAGCAAATAGTCCATGAACTGAATCTCCAGAGAAAGTGGGTCACGAAGCATGACAACGACCCCAAACACACAAGACCCCCAAACACACAACGACCCCAAACACACAAACAATGACAACGACCCCAAACACACAACTTTAACACCAAATAATGGTTAAAGAACAAAGTTAATGTTGTGGAATGGCTGAGTAAAAGTACAGACCATAATCAAATTGAAATGTAGAAGGACTTGAAGCAAGAAGTTCAGATAAATATGCAAGACTGATCAACAGGAGATGTTGAGTTGCCATTATTGCACAGGAGTCAGTATTTTACCGAGTATATATTTTTGTCTCATTTGTTTGATTGTGTCCTCTTTTGACTCATTGGTATGAGTATGGAATTTTGGTATGATTTTGGATGAACTTTTGGCAATGGAAAAGGAAATAATTGTACACCATACTGTAATACCGTCTACTTTTAGGACTTTTGTGAACATCTGATGTTGTTTTGGGTCATATTAATGCTTAAATATAGAACATTCTAAAAGATTCATAAACTTTCAAGCAGCACTGTATACTACAATGATTGGAAAGTTCCAGAAATGTTTTTCCTTTCATGTTTCATAGACATTTAAATGCAAAGAAAAACAAGGTGACAACACTGTTGTATGTGCCTACCTTGAAACACAGAGAATGTAAAAGTAGTAGTCCAGATTGCTTGTACATTTACATCACTGTATGACATCTACCTGTGGCAAGACCCTGAAGGTCTTTATATGAGGCGTGTTTAGGTTCTTCTGTGCAGCAGTGGAAGCGATCCATCCTAACAGACTTCACTTTTCCAGTGGGCTTCAAGTCAAACATCTCAAAGTGTCCTGGGGGGAAGGGGGTGATCTCTGCAGGGGTGGACATGGAGTGCTTGATCTCTGTCAAACCTGTTACGAATAAATCACAGTAAAAATGTGATTCGTGTTCAATTCATTCTGCAATAAATGTGAGCTCAAAGTAGTTCAGCTGCAGGAGATTTGAACGAAACTAAATGAGTTTTTTTTTTTTTTGGTAGGGCTGCCCAATTTGGCCCAAAATTGTTAGATTTTATATCAGTATTCCTAAGATTAATGAAATAAAAATATTACAAAAGTAATATTGTAAAATAAAAGAAAACAATTTCATTTGTTTAGTACGTCTGTGAAATTACAATTCCAATATTTATGGCTGCATTAATTTCTTTATTTTCATACTTTAAACCATTACACATTTATTTTGGTAGAAAATGGCAGGGAGACAAACCCTTAACTGTCACCCCCCTTTGAGAATAGACATGAAAATGCACTGTCCAAACTTAAACTGTTATAATTCAAGAATGCTTTGGAATATAGTTCTTGTTTTAAAACAAAGTATGAAAAAGTTATGGAACCTTAAATTTACTGTAAATCAAGAATGTACTGTACTAAACATTTTATATAAAATATAAATTAACTAAAATTACTTTCAATTTGGAACACAACTTGGTTAGACATGGCTTTGATTAATGAGAAATCTCATAGGAACTTTAATTTGCAATTAGGCGATGTACCAAAAATAGCCAATGGGTGTTGAATAGTTTTTTTCATGACAGTGTTCTGCTGTTAAAAAAAAAATTCTGTTCAAATTTCACTACTATCACAAAACAGTAGCCAGATATGGAACCTTGATGCCTTTTTAAAGATAGTGAATTGAGAAAGTATTCAGACGCCAGATTATGAATTGCAGGCATGTAAAAGAACAGTGCCGTGCTTGACTCTGAATCACACTTATCTGTATCGGGATTAGGGGTGGGAATCTCTAGTCTAGGCACCTCACGATTCAGAAGGCTGCAATGGGATGCTAAAACGATTATTGATGCATCTTTTTTGTTTGCGACAGCTTGGTAAGCAAAGTATTTATTATGACCCATAAAGAATTTACTTCCAAAATATTCTATTAATAAAACAAATGGAAGTGATTAGGCAAGTCAACTGTAAGGTTACATTTGAACCAAAGGAAATGTGTGCCTGTACTAGCAGCATAGCTACTTTTAGTCAATGAATACAAACTTCAGCATATTCTGAATCTCTATCATAAAATAATAGACTTAGAATTAAAGAATGTGCAATGAGCAATAGAATCCTTCAGACAAAAAAAAAAAAAATAAACATCTTGCTGTAACAAAATCACAAACAGCTTACATACAGAAATACAGAATTATGTACTTGCACATATTCTGAATAATTTGTAACAAAGCAGCTCTTATCCACAAATAAATAAGACTAATAATAAATAAGTCTAAGAATTATGACTTGAAATTGTTGATGTATACCCCAATCAAAAACAGCTTATACTAAAAAAAAAAAAAAATTAAGTAAATTAACATCTGCAGAGCAGTCAAAAAGTAACTTTTTGTGACTGGCATTGAACTGATGCACACTGCAAACCTACGTAGAACAGATCTGTTTACAGCATATTGATATGAAAACAAAACAATACAGAAAGCAGCTATCATATAAAAATAGAAAAAAGGCGACAATGAAATTATGCATATTTTCCATAAGTTAGCTTTTAAAGAAGTCTCTGTTATGCGCACGCCACTTCCTGCACTTCAGAGTTACACCTTTTGAGTTCTGTCAATATTACATTATTAGAAAAAAAACTTTTAGAAAATCGATTTTAGATATTTGTGAATTGATTCAGAATCACCCACATCTGCATCGCGATGCATCTAAGAATCGATTCCTCCCCCCATCCCTAATCGGGATTACGTTTTTATTTAATTAATCATGCAGCCCTACCAGGAGTGGATAAATATGACGGTTTTATTCATTATACCTTTGGCCTCAGAGCTGACTGCTAGAAAGCCATCGTCGGTGAGCAGTTTGAACATTGGTCTCACACCGTACGTGTCCCTCCCCAAGAAAACCTTTCTGTTAGCAGTGTCCAACAGGATGAATGCAAACACGCCATCTAGCAGAGCTGCCATCTTCTCGATTCCAAAGCGATCGTACAGGTGCAGAAGGATCTCTCCATCCACTTTGGTCTGATATTCAAACTCAAAGTGCTCCTTTAGCTATAAAGGAAAAAGACAGACCATTAGATGTTAAGTAAATTAAACCATCTATGATCATATCAACTACGGTCACATGACTCAATCACACAAAGGCCATGAGGGGTCTTTGTATCATCAATACATCCTGTGAGTTCCATAACTTAAAACATCCTTGTCATCAATAAAAAAAAAAACATTTAAATAATCAGGTTGTAATATACTTCGTTTGAATCCGAGGTGGCATGTGATGTCACGAGGCACAATCATTTTAATATGACTGCCTCTTTACCAAGACAACAACGCCTACTTTTACATCTTCGCATTGTCCTCGCCCACTGGTAAACAGTCAATGAGAAGCGAGTGGACCTCTAGGCTAGTTGTATAGAAGATTGCGATAAGATTGTGATGCCACATAGGCATTGTGCTGTTACTGGCTGTGGAAAAACAATCTTTGCATAAGTTGCTGAAGGGTTAGGGTTAAATGCACCTTGCTTGGTTCTTAAATCACTAATGCAAATTAGTGATAATGCTGAAATGTGTATTTCTCAACTCAAACTAGCCGTAAATGCACAGTGTTTTCAAATTAAAATAATAGTTTTACTGTCTCTCAATAGTACAACATAAATGAAACAATAAATAAGAACATTTGTATGCTCATGGAAAAACAGGGGCACAAATCGGTGTTGCCTACACCATGTTATCCTCTCTTTAATATTCGCACCCTGTTGACTTCAATGGTGCAGGTTCTAAACCTGCTTTTAGCCTCTTAACATCCTTGATTTGTCATTACGAGTGCACAGCCATGTGAATGGTGTTATTAAGAGTGACCACGGTCAATCTGACTGCAGTAGATGTGAAAGATATTAATAAAAATGATGTTAATTCAGCCAGCTCACATACCTGTATTTACTTCTTGTTTTCAGTCGAAGTCCACAGTAGTCGATTGTCGAGTTTGCGCGTGCGATCATTGGTAACTAAGCAACAGTGGAGAGTCAGACTGTCAGCCGATGACGGTGCTGTGTGGTGTTCTGAGAATATCAGCTCAAATGGATAGTTCAACCGAATCAGATGTTGAATACACGGAGGAGGTTTTTGAGTTCATTTTTACCAATGATCCCACCTTGACAATCGACTACTGTGGACCGAAAATCGCTGGTCGCCATGTCTCAGTGTTTTTATGAAGAGGACATAACTGTGCACCTGTCGGACAGCGCCTCAAAAACCGGATTAACCCGGCACTTCGGTACTTCAGAAAAGCTAGTACCGTAACAGTTTCATTTTTTGGGGGAAACCGGACACAAACACAAACATAAAATTATCTCTGTGCTGAAATTATATTTTGTGTGAACAACATTCAGCTACTTACCGTGATATGATTGTAGATTTCACCGTTGTAACACAACCAGAGGTAGGGAAACTTCTTGACACGCAAAGGCTGCATGCCATACAGCTGGTCCACAATCGCAAGGCGGTGAAACCCAAAGCAGCAGTTGGTGAATCCGTTGACATTCTCGAAGCGGAAAGCATCTGGACCACGATGGGCGATCTTCATGGCATTGGTGCACTGAGCCGAGAGGCACTCATCACTACCAAACAAAGCCCATATACCACACATTCTGATGCTGAAAAAAACAATGCATAAAAATGTCATTAGATTTAAAAGGGAGCAAAAGCATTCATGTCCAAATGTTTTAACAGACAGACTGGAATCTGACTTCAAGTGCATGCCAGTTTGAAATTTTTTACAGACTTCAGATGGCGCCAATGCCACATGACTGAGCTGCATGCCATCAAAGCACATGATTACAGTGAGGTAAATAGTATTTGAACACCCTGCTAGTTTGCAAGTTCTCCCACTTAGAAATCATGAAGGGGTCTGAAATTGTCACCATAGGTGCATGTCCACTGTGAGATATACACTCACCGGCCACTTTATTAGGTACCCCATGCTAGTAACGGGTTGGACCCCCTTTTGCCTTCAGAACTGCCTCAATTCTTCGTGGCATAGATTCAACAAGGTGCTGGAAGCATTCCTCAGGGAGTTTGGTCCATATTGACATGATGGCATCACACAGTTGCCGCAGATTTGTCGGCTGCACATCCATGATGCGAATCTCCCGTTCCACCACATCCCAAAGATGCTCTATTGGATTGAGATCTGGTGACTGTGGAGGCCATTTGAGTACAGCGAACTCATTGTCATGTTCAAGAAACCAGTCTGAGATGATTCCAGCTTTATGACATGGCGCATTATCCTGCTGGAAGTAGCCATCAGAAGTTGGGTACATTGTGGTCATAAAGGGATGGACATGGTCAGCAACAATACTCAGGTAGGCTGTGGCGTTGCAACGATGCTCAATTGGTACAAAGGGGCCCAAAGAGTGCCAAGAAAATATTCCCCACACCATGACACCACCACCACCAGCCTGAACCGTTGATACAAGGCAGGATGGATCCATGCTTTCATGTTGTAGACGCCAAATTCTGACCCTACCATCCGAATGTCGCAGCAGAAATCGAGACTCATCAGACCAGGCAACGTTTTTCCAATCTTCTATTGTCCAATTTCCATGAGCTTGTGCAAATTGTAGCCTCAGTTTCCTGTTCTTAGCTGAAAGGAGTGGCACCCGGTGTGGTCTTCTGCTGCTGTAGCCCATCTGCCTCAAAGTTCGACGTACTGTGCGTTCAGAGATGCTCTTCTGCCCACCTTGGTTGTAACGGGTGGTTATTTGAGTCACTGTTGCCCTTCTATCAGCTCGAACCAGTCTGGCCATTCTCCTCTGACCTCTGGCATCAACAAGGCATTTCCGCCCACAGAACTGCCGCTCACTGGATGTTTTTTCTTTTTCGGACCATTCTCTGTAAACCCTAGAGATGGTTGTGCGTGAAAATCCCAGTAGATTAGCAGTTTCTGAAATACTCAGACCAGCCCTTCTAGCACCAACAATCATGCCACGTTCAAAGTCACTCAAATCACCTTTCTTCCCCATACTGATGCTCGGTTTGAACTGCAGGAGATTGTCTTGACCATGTCTACATGCCTAAATGCCTACATTGCCGCCATGTGATTGGCTGCTTAGAAATTAAGTGTTAACGCGCAGTTGGACAGGTGTACCTAATAAAGTGGCCGGTGAGTGTATACACATATATATATATATATATATATATACACTCACCGGCCACTTTATTAGGTACCCCATGCTAGTAACGGGTTGGACCCCCTTTTGCCTTCAGAACTGCCTCAATTCTTCGTGGCATAGATTCAACAAGGTGCTGGAAGCATTCCTCAGGGAGTTTGGTCCATATTGACATGATGGCATCACACAGTTGCCGCAGATTTGTCGGCTGCACATCCATGATGCGAATCTCCCGTTCCACCACATCCCAAAGATGCTCTATTGGATTGAGATCTGGTGACTGTGGAGGCCATTTGAGTACAGCGAACTCATTGTCATGTTCAAGAAACCAGTCTGAGATGATTCCAGCTTTATGACATGGCGCATTATCCTGCTGAAAGTAGCCATCAGAAGTTGGGTACATTGTGGTCATAAAGGGATGGACATGGTCAGCAACAATACTCAGGTAGGCTGTGGAGTTGCAATGATGCTCAATTGGTACCAAGGGGCCCAAAGAGTGCCAAGAAAACATTCCCCACACCATGACACCACCACCACCAGCCTGAACCGTTGATACAAGGCAGGATGGATCCATGCTTTCATGTTGTAGACGCCAAATTCTGACCCTACCATCCGAATGTCGCAGCAGAAATCGAGACTCATCAGACCAGGCAACGTTTTTCCAATCTTCTATTGTCCAATTTCGATGAGCTTGTGCAAATTGTAGCCTCAGTTTCCTGTTCTTAGCTGAAAGGAGTGGCACCCGGTGTGGTCTTCTGCTGCTGTAGCCCATCTGCCTCAACGTTCGACGTACTGTGCGTTCAGAGATGCTCTTCTGCCCACCTTGGTTGTAACGGGTGGTTATTTGAGTCACTGTTGCCCTTCTATCAGCTCGAACCAGTCTGGCCATTCTCCTCTGACCTCTGGCATCAACAAGGCATTTCCGCCCACAGAATTGCCGCTCACTGGATGTTTTTTCTTTTTCGGACCATTCTCTGTAAACCCTAGAGATGGTTGTGCGTGAAAATCCCAGTAGATTAGCAGTTTCTGAAATACTCAGACCAGCCCTTCTGGCACCAACAATCATGCCACGTTCAAAGTCACTCAAATCACCTTTCTTCCCCATACTGATGCTCGGTTTGAACTGCAGGAGATTGTCTTGACCATGTCTACATCCCTAAATGCACTGAGTTGCCGCCATGTGATTGGCTGCTTAGAAATTAAGTGTTAACGAGCAGTTGGACAGGTGTACCTAATAAAGTGGCCGGTGAGTGTATATATACACACACATATATATATATATATATATATACAACCCGAATTCCGGAAAAGTTGGGACATTTTTTAAATTTGAATAAAATTAAAACTATACGACTTTCAAATCACATGAGCAAATATTTTATTCACAATAGAACATAGATAATATAACAAATGTTTAAACGGAGAAATTTTACACTTTAATCCACTAAATGAGCTCATTTCAAATTTGATGCCTGCTACAGGTCTCAAAATAGTTGGGACGGGGGCAACAAATGGTTGAAAAAGCAATAAATTTAGAAAGGATTCAGGTGGGAGAACATCTATAGCAACTAAGTAAGTTAATTGATATCAGGTCTGTAACATGATTAGCTATAAAAGGGATGTCTTAGAGAGGTAGAGTCTCTCAGAAGTAAAGATGGGCAGAGGCTCTCCAATCTGTGAAAGAGTGCGTAAAAAGATTGTGGAACACTTTAAAAACAATGTTCCTCAACGTCAAATTGCAAAGGCTCTGCAAATCTCATCATCTACAGTGCACAACATCATCAAAAGATTCAGAGAAACTGGAGAAATCTCTGTGCGTAAGGGACAAGGGCGAAGACCTTTATTGGATGCCCGTGGTCTTCGGGCCCTCAGACTACACTGCATCACTCATCGGCATGATTGTGTGAATGACATTACTAAATGGGCCCAGGAATACTTTCAGAAACCACTGTCGGTAAACACAATCCGCCGTGCCATCTCCAGATGCCAACTAAAGCTCTATCATGCAAAAAGGAAGCCATATGTGAACATGGTCCAGAAGCGCCGTCGTGTCCTGTGGGCCAAAGCTCATTTAAAATGGACTATTTCAAAGTGGAAAAGTATTCTGTGGTCAGACGAGTCCAAATTTGACATTCTTGTTGGAAATCACGGACGCCGTGTCCTCCGGACAAAAGAAGAGGCAGACCTTCCATCGTGTTATCAGCGTTCAGTTCAAAAGCCAGCATCTCTGATGGTATGGGGGTGCATAAGTGCATACGGTATGGGCAGCTTGCATGTTTTGGAAGGCACTATGAATGCTGAAAGCTATATAAAGGTTTTAGAGCAACATATGCTCCCCTCCAGACAACGTCTATTTCAGGGAAGGCCATGTGTTTTTCAACAGGACAATGCAAAACCACATACTGCAGCTATTACAACAGCATGGCTTCGTCGTAGAAGAGTCCGGGTTCTGAATTGGCCTGCCTGCAGTCCAGATCTTTCACCTATAGAGAATATTTGGCGCATCATTAAACGAAAAATGCGTCAAAGGCGACCACGAACACTTCAGCAGCTGGAAACCTATATAAGGCAAGAATGGGACCAAATTCCAACACCAAAACTCCAGACACTCATAAACTCGATGCCCAGACGTCTTCATACTGTTTTGAAAAGAAGAGGAGATGTTACACCATGGTAAACGTGCCCCCGTCCCAACTATTTTGAGACCTGTAGCAGGCATCAAATTTGAAATGAGCTCATTTAGTGGATAAAAGTGTACAATTTCTCCGTTTAAACATTTGTTATGTTATCTATGTTCTATTGTGAATAAAATATTGGCTCATGTGATTTGAAAGTCGTATAGTTTTCATTTTATTCAAATTTAAAAAACGTCCCAACTTTTCCGGAATTCGGGTTGTATATATATATATATATATACACATATATATATATATATATATATATATATATATATATACACACATATATATATATATATATATATATATATATATATATACACATATATATATATATATATATATATATATATATATAACCACGTTTATATATAAACGAGATCGTGCAGGGATCATGTTTGTGACTGATCTTATTAGAGACACGCTAATATGTCTTAGTCCGACAGCGCAATGCCATAACGCCAGAAATGAAAGTAGCCTAATCACTACATTAAGATATTTGGCAAATGGGAAAATGCAATAAAGCAGCAGTGATTTGGCTCTGTCACAACCTTCTGTAAACAGTGATCACACAAACTTTCAGACCAGGGATGGAAATTAGCACCCGCCACCAGCCAAATGCGGGTGATTTTGTGTTGTGGGGGGAGCTAGTCGCGTGCTAGTCTAAAGAGAGCTAGTCGCGTGAACATCTACCCGAGCGCTATTCCCGGATCTACTATTAGATTAGATTATTGGCCTGAAACGAGACTTCCTTAGATTTCCACGACGCATGCGCGAGAATTGCGATCTCCTTCAACTACTTCAGTT